GCGCCTGCCGCTCGCTTGGCGCGGGCCTCGCCTTGGCCCAGCGCCGGCCTGTCTGACACTGACCCATCTGTCTGTCTGTCTGTCCGTCAGTCTGCTGGCTCCTGGGGGCCCAGGTGGGGCCGGGTCCCTCTCAGAAGGTGGGCTGCGGACCGTACCACTACGGACAGCCGCTGTCGGGGTGGGGGGGAGCAGGGCGCCAAGGAGCTACCCTTAGGGAAGCTGGAGCGGGCGGGAGCAGGGCCAGAGGGAGTCCCTGACTGTCGTACCTGGACGGAGACCACACGATAACCCTCACAACTCTCCTCCCCCGTGGCTTGCTCTCTGCCGACTTCCCTGTCCCCCCTTGTAGGTGGTACGACCCCCAAGCCTCGGTGTTGGTCTCTAGTGCTGAACTGTGTCCGAGTTCCTCCGGGCATAGGGCCCCTGAGCCTGTGGGACCCGATTCCAGAGTCACACGGGGTTAAGGGAAGGGGGTGCCCAGCTTCCCTCCCGAAGCGCAGGTCACGGGTGGAGGGCGCACGGAGGGGCTGGCTGGCCAAGCAGCTGCAAGGACACCCGGGGGAGAACTGGGGAGACTGGCTCCGAGCCAGACGAGCTGGACCTGGAGGAGCCCAGCCTAGGCCTGGAGGAGCGGGAGAACCGGGGCGGGGGCGGGGCGACCGGAGCCGCAGAAACCCTCCGGGTGACCCAGGCGTCCGGAACCCCCAGGCCCCTCCGCTCCGGAAAGAATCGCGAGAACCGGCACGTAGGCGGAGGACGGTGGGGGTGGGGACTCCTGTGTTCAGGGGTGCGGGCCGGAGCCGAGAGGCTTCAGGGCTCCAGACTTAGCCCCTCAAGGCTTCCCCTTGCTCTGGAAAGCAAGGAGACTTGGGGTAGTAGATAAAAGAAAAGGGAAACTGAGGCACGGTCTGGCAAGGGACTCTGTCGTTCTGACCCACCCCCTTTCACTTCTGGAGAGCCCCCTCGGCTGGGCCCCATTTTTCAAAGTCCCTGGTCCTCAACCTCCCAGGCAGCGAGACCTCTGGCCCGGAGACCCCGCCCCAGCCACACTCACCCGGGCCGCGGTCCGGCCGCGCGGGCCGCCCCCCGCATAGTCGCACCTTGGACAGCAGGATGAGGAGCTGCTTCTGGCAGAGGGACTTGGTGCCGCGGGGGCACACGCGCCGCTGCGCCGACACCGGCCGGCTGCCCCCGGGCTCGCGGACCTCCCGCTTCTGCCGGATCAGGCTACTGGCCAGCGCCGCCATGGCGCCCCGGGAGGAGACACCCCCAAACCAGCAGGCGCACGGAGCGCGCCGGGCTCCCCCAGAGGAGCCCGCTCACCAGGGCATGCTCTTGACGCTCAGGCCTCGACTCCCGCCCCACCCACAGGACCTGAGGATAAGCCCCAGACTCTCCGACTCCCCCCCACAGCAGGCCGCTCACAACCTTGGGCCCCGTGCTAGCTTCGCTGGACTCAGTAGCCTATGCACACTTGAACTGACCCTACCTCCCCCCCAATTAGGACCCCAACTGAAAATGCCCCTCTTCCCTCCTCTCCAATGTCTCTGTCCCCACTTTGCCTATCTCAAAGCCAAGACCCCAGACAGTTCCAAGATGTGGTACCAATATCCCCAGGAACCTTCCCACTCTTTCCGCAGACACCTCCGCCAGGTCCACTCTTGTAATATAAAGGGAGTCAGTCCTTAGCTTTGGGGATATTTGCTCACTCCACCCCTACTGGGGCACTGCCAATATCAGGGAGGAACCCAACCTTGGTGGCTTTTCCTTTGCTCTCCTCTAAATGGAGAGGTTCTCCCACTTTTTTCACTGAAATCCCCCCCAGAAATGTCTTGGAGTATTCAGGCTGTACGGGTTCAGCGAGAAAGGGTTCCCAGACCCTCTGACTGGACAATGCCCTTTTTCACCAAGTCACCCTCATATCTAGTAGCACAGGGTTCCAGCTGCCAGCCCCTTTCCTCACCTTGTCACCCTCCACTCCTTTTGAAGTCACCTCCAAATCCGCCCTTCCTAGTGAATACACCAGGTGGTTGTCTGTAGGGCCCTCTGTCACCTCGAAATAAGGAGCATCCGTTTTTGTTGTTTTCTGGCTGCCCCTTAAATTTCCTTGGGGACAGCTGGTACTGCTTAGATCCCACACCCGCCAATCTAACCAGCCCCCCGACAGGGAGGAGTGCACCCACGTTGTCACCAGTTTCCAAATGTGAACAGGCCCCTACAAGTCAGAGCACATCAGAGCTTCCTGCGACAGGGCTTCCACGTCCTCCCCGGAACTGCCTAGAGCACCCCCTCTTCCTCTCCCCGACGCCCCTCAACCTGTCCTGTCCTGTTGATCCCGGCGGCGGGTGGCGCTGGCTCCGGCTTCAGGCTCCTCCCTCCCTGTCCCCAGTGAGCGGAGCTTCCCCCCACGCCTGGCTAGGCGTCCCAGACCCCCAGGAAGGAGTGAGGGTGTCTCTGCAGAGCGCCCCGGTCTGGCGAAGCCAGAGCACTGGGCCTGGCGGCTGGACCAGGCTGAGCGGTGGCAGCGGCGGCAGCGGCAGCGGCTGCGGCTGTGGGAAGC